CCCTCTTGCTTTTGCATCTGATCTGTGGTTTCGGTGTGTTCCTTGGGTTTGGGGTCTCTCCCGGAGGAAGATCTCAGCCAGGGGTCTTTCAGTAGCCAGCAGAGCCTGCTTCCCAAGTGTGTCCCCCCACCTGGTTCTGACTTGAAGCTTATTGCTGGCCAGTCATCTACTCACTGTACTGTGTGCTCCAGAGGGCATGCTTTTTATCTCTCACCAAGATTTCTTCAGGATCTATACTCACTTCCTGGCTTGGGCAGAATTGAGGGTTTGGGTTCTGTTGGCTATAGCCCACGGCTGGGTGATGGGGAACGGGGAGAGATGGAGGCTGCGTTACTGTCATTTGGCTTGAGTTGGCTTGAATCAGCCTAGTTGTGAAATCATGGTGGGCTGGTGTTTTGGGGAGGTGAGAACTCAGATGTCTGTGTTTGTGCCCGCCCACTCAGGAAGACCAAACATCTGCTTCAGCCCCAGGATGCACTTTGCATTTCTCGCTCCCTCTCAGCAAACGGTGGGGGGCGGGGGGAGGGGGAACATTGAAATTTATACTTGTAATTCTTTAGGTCACCAGGCAAGAGGCCTCAGCACCTTGCCGAGGTGGGCTGAACTGTGACCCAGATGGAATTTCCCTGAGTTAATGGTGTTAGGTGTGAAGATGACAGTATTCTAGTCTCAGTCTAGGAAGCTTGGTTCGTTTAACCCAGAGCTCATGAAATACAGGTATTGTGCATGTGAATTGTATATGTGAGAGCTGTCCTTCAGCGCAGATGCCCCCCCCCCCAAGATCTTTAGAACCTCAGCTGACCTTTTACAGGAAGGTCCAACTCGTGGTTACTTTGTAACAGTGTTGTGTGAACTAAGGAATTCATACAGGGAGGGCTTAGCACTGCCTTTGGCCCACATTAACTGTTCAACCATCATCATCACTTACTGCTGCTTGTATTGTTACTATGACAGCAATCCCATAATTTTATATCCCCTCCCTCGTTTGAATGTTCCCTCATGCCTGCTCTTTTCAGAAGCAAAAATGGAGGGGGTGTGGATCTGGGAGAAAGGGGAAGTGGGCAGGGGACCTGGGGGAGTGGAGGGAGGGAAACTGTGCTGGGGAGTATGTGAGAATAATCTATTTCAACTCCAAAATTAAAAAGGGTTGATGGCGGCTATTTTGTTCTAGGAAATGACTGTTTTCAGCCCACCTTTCATCAATGTTAGCAAAATCTTGATAAATTATTTTATTTTAAATCATTGCAGAGGCCAGGGAGGGGGCTCAGTGGGTAAAGGCGCTTGTTGCCAAGTCTGATGGCCCCGAACCCACATGGTAGGAAAAGAGACCCGCCTCTCAGATGTTGTCTTCTGGCCTCCACACATGCACCCACCTCTCACACATAACGAACAGATGTTAACATTTTTAAACATTACTGGGACTCTAATATATCCAATAAATGGATTTTTAGAGGTAAAATTGCTTTGAAGGTTAAGAAATAATAAAAAGACTTTGCATGTTTATGTGCAGATAATAATGAAAAATTGCTCATTTTTTATTGTTGAAATCCAAAACACAGCATAATTTTTGCAACACAGATGTTCTGTACGAGCCTGCCAGGTCTGATGTATGGATGACATAGTTTTATACAGATAACAACTTGTTGACCTTTCATCTGGACAGTGATGATCTGGTTTCCTGCTCAGACTTCAGTTCCATGGCTGGTTCACACGAACAGAGAATTAGGGGGAAACAGAGGTTTTGTTTTGCCAGAGGGAAGGGAGCAATTACTTTAAAAAAAAAAAAACTTATTTATTTTTATTTTATGTGCTTTGGCATTTTGCCTGCATGTCTGTGTGAGAGCACCAGATACCCTGGAGCTGGAGTTACAGACAGTTGTGAGCTGCTATGTGGATGCTTGGAATTGAACCCAGGTCCTCTGGAAGAGCAGTCAGTGCTATTAACTGTTGAGCCATCTCTCCAGCCCAAATGATTACTTAAGTAGACTTCAAAGTTCATGTCTCTACAATACAATTAATGACAAAGTTTATTTTTTACTAATGCTGATCTGTCCTGTGCTGTGGGATGGTCTGTATGTCAAATTACTCTGATTGGTCAATAAATAAAACACTGATTGGCCAGTGGCTAGGCAGGAAGTATAGGCGGGACTAACAGAGAGGAGAAAAGAAAGAACAGGAAGGTGGAAGGAGTCACTGCCAGCCACCGCCATGATAAGCAGCTTGTGAAGATGCCGGTAAGCCACGAGCCACGTGGCAAGGTATAGATTTATGGAAATGGATTAATTTAAGCTATAAGAACAGTTAGCAAGAAGCCTGCCATGGCCATACAGTTTGTAAGCAATATAAGTCTCTGTGTTTATTTGGTTGGGTCTGAGCGGCTGTGGGACTGGTGGGTGACAAAGATTTGTTCTGACTGTGGGCAAGGCAGGAAAACTCTAGCTACAGTCCTGAGATTTTATATTATTTTCCCCTAATTTTTTACATAAGTATTACTAGTGCCACCATCAGCCATTAGCAAATACCTTTAATTAGGTATAATCATTGCTTGAACAACTACTATGCACATAGATCTTAAAATGTTTCTTCTTATTACTATTATTATTATTATCATCATCATTTTGTGTGTGTGTGTGTGTGTGTGTGTGTGTGTGTGTGTGTGTGTGTGTGTGCGCGCGCGCACGCACACATGCATATGTGTCATGATCCCAGGAGGTCAGAGGACATCTCTCAGGAGTGATTCTCTCCCACCACCTT